CACGGACACTTCATCATTTGTTATCCACATATTCAAGAAATATTCATGGAGTCCAGGCCATAAACAAGCTCATATTCCTATTCAGAACCCTTTTGGAACACGCAAGATTTTATCCGCATAGGAGATCTAGAAAATACAGAGAGTGTCCGTCAACTTCATTCAGTCACACTTCAATTAAATGAGGTAATAAGAAACTGATATCTCGGACACTCTATGGAATCTAAGGGGTCGTCCACCCTCTGATATGTACTGTATTCAGGACAGGCAGAGGTAGGTCAAAGCCTGTACGATAACGAAATGACACACAGTGTATGAGAAGTTTTATATTTGCATGACATCCCTATCACTTTCTAATGGGTGCGTTTTTACTCACGGAGGAGGAGAGCAATTTTACTCCTTGGTGATGGAGTGAATTCGCTCCTTTTCCAGAGTGAAAGGGGGGTGAAACTGGAGTTAGCTATTTTACTCTCTTTTTCGGGAAAAATCCCTCCCCTTTTTCTAAGAGTGTATCGCCCTAACTTGAGAATTCCAATTTTTGATATCCACCTTCGAGGAAAGTCCAATGTCCATCCACAGACCCAAGATGCCAGATCGCGATTTCTTCAAAAAGGTCAATTCCGGGTGGTGAAGCTAAGCGTAGAGTTGGGGTGTCTATTAGGGCTCAACCCCCCCCCCCCCTTGCCGATTTTCCGCCTACGCCTATGTTATACAACCCACGAGTCAGATTCGCATGAAGGATTAATGGTGACTCAGTCAAAAGGTCGCATTTTAATGTACGGTGCCGTATATGTTCTAATAGCTACGTTAGATATGGATTGCTATTGTAGACGCGTTTCTGATGCCTAACACGTCCATGAGTCTCAGCAACTAACATGCACGAGCCAACAGATTCACCTTCCATCTCCTTCGGACTAACCTAAGGCTTAGAAGAGCAGGGCCTCAAGCTTATGGTAGGAAAAGCCTAGGTCACAGTGGCCCGTTATAAGTCGCGTTGGAAATTGGGTAAGCATGCCGAAACGTCGAGCGCAAGCTGATCCAGACGGAAGGAAACTCAATTGATCCTTTCTGAAAAAAAAAACGATTCGCCCATTGACAACAAATGACTCTATGGTCTACTTAACTCTTTGCTGCGTACCGCTCACAGAGATACCTGTTTTTCGGTCCGTTTTCGGGATTTCTTTTACCTAGCCTGTAACCGAAAAAGGCATGTCCTTGTAGGCATTGAACTTCCGGCTAAGGTGACAGGCTCAGGTCAGAGCAGCGGATCGACGGGATAAAATGTCTGGTGCGCAAGTGGTAACACTGTGTTGGGCGCAATATCACGCTCCGCTTCAGGCTCATGCCTGTGCCGTAGGTGAGAAAAAAATTCCAGTTGAGGGGAGAAACCGATCGACCTGACGACTGAAGACTACGAGCCTGTGCTTTTCTAGGTCGTACGCTAGGCGGAACGGCAAGTTGTACTAAGGGAAGTACTAAGATGCGTATCAGAATGTCTTCTGATGTGAATAGATGAACGATTTTTTTTTTCCATTCCGATCTCGTTATCAAGGGGACTGCAGTAATACTCTATTCGTGGCATTGTCCTCAGCCAGAGCAAAGAAAGGATCTTTCACCATGCGGGACACGTGCTGCCATCACGCGATGGAACACGAAAGCTAATGCGAATCCAAGTTTACCCACATTTTCTTCTATCACGCCGCTTGCTACATGGTGACGTCCTCTCGACTGACGAAACTTCTAACATCTGATGAAAGCGTTGCTCTCAAATATGTTCACTTTTCATGTTTTTCCACACGTTCCATCATTAATAGATTATCTCCTCCTCCTCCTGAAAAGCAAAATGTATGAGTCATCTACGAGTTTTTATTCCCAACTAGGAACCACTGAATCTGTTCAAGAAATCCTTGGAAAAGAAAATGAGAAAACTGGAGATGACTTTATATATATAAAGGTTGTTGAGAAGCACGAAATGACTAACTCAAAACAGGATGGAATAAAATGTTCATTCCCCGACGTTTCGACATTTTCATGCCTTTCTCAAGGGGAAATAGGCTCATGAGGTACATTCTTGACCCTTAACGAAGAAATTGAAAGAAAATATAGTGGGCTAAGTAAGAGATGTCCTTGTTTAGCCCTAATGTGTGGGTTCTCCATTTGATGATTCTCTTGAGTTCTTCCAGCCTTCTTTGTTTAGTATCCATGAGGTCTCCAGCAAAGATATCGACCATCATGTCATCAATGGAGTGAGATGTTTGACTGAAATGTTCCGCCACAGGTAGGTTGGAAATCCCCCGTCGAACACTACTCTTGTGGTTGTTGAAGCGGAGACGGAAAGATGTTTCCGTCTCCCCAATGTATCTTTTGTTGCATCGTTTGCAAGCTATGGAGTAGATGACGTGAGAAGAGTCACAATCATACTTCCCTGACGTGGATAGGAAGTGTCGGCACACCTTGCATCTCGGTTTCTTGCATGGAGCTCCGCAGTTCCTTGGGGAGGTCGTTGATGGAGAAGGAAAAGACGCTCTGACTAGAAGAGTGATATATGGCCATATATCACTGGCCATATATATACCTGTATATATATATATATATGGCCATCCATATCACATATATCATATATATGACCTATCCATATAACATAGCCCTTCTTCATAAGTCTAAGGGTGACTAAAACTTTCTTGCATTTATAATACACTAGCAGAGATACCTGGCCACAACTGAATATTGTATACATCCCATAGTACATCAACATCAGTTTCTTGATGTTGCCCATCCCTAAAGACAGAATTGAAAACGATAGAAAAACTTCTAGGAGCATGTTGGAATCACTTATTACTTTAAACAGTGTCCACACTCTGCAAATGATAAGTTGTGTTTTTTGTTGATGACTGAGTGGACTCCATTTTACTGGAAAAAGAAAGAGAATGTTAGGAGGATCCAGTGATTGCAAGGTGATGCCATCAAAGCATGGTGATACCTGTCTCATTTTCACCCTCTCTCTTATATGAGCCTTGTATTTGAAGCTGAGGGAAGTGCCAAACATTGATGCCTTCTATCTCTTTCCTTTGCTCCACAGAATTAATCCTTTATCTGGTTTCTCAAATATAAATATGGTGTTAATGTTGGATGACTTTGGCTGAGATCTATTGGATGGGGTATTGAATGAGCTTCATATTTGACTCATGCTTTGCAAGAAAGTACTGATAAATGTTTTTCAAGTTTCAATGATGTGTTTTACAAAACAAAGAAATGACATCATGTGGAACACAGACATATCACTTATCAATCTCAATCATTAGCATGATAATCGGTGCAGCCCCAGACCTAAGGCCTGTTATTTTAACTGCTGTCAGTTGCACTCACAAAGCTAATGCAATTTCCAACATGAGTTAGATTATGCATATCTTTTATCTCCTGAAGAGAAGAATTTGATGCATAGTACTGTATTGATGAAGGTGGTGGAGCAGTATGTGAAGAATTTCCTGGATGTGTACCAGAGGGAGCCAAAGTTCCTGTTCACCTTCCAGGGAATGCTGTCACATGATGATTACAACCGTATTGGAGCAGTAGATAATGACTTCTTGGTCTTCCTGCAATGGCTCAATGATTCAGGACATCTCAATAACACCCTCCTCATTGTCATGAGTGATCATGGCCACAGGCAAGATCTCTTTGAGTATATTACAAGAGATGCACTCAAGTACACTGCAGTGGGACAAAAGGCCATATTCCTGGCCAAAATAAAAAAGTCTAATTTTCTTGTGTAATTCTGATACTTTACACCTCAGTTACCAAATAACTGAACTTCAGAAAACTGCAATTACTTCAAAGAAAGCTAAAACCTTTTTCTTGATAGAATGCTGTAAACTTAATGAAAATCTGACTATCACTCCTTGCTCTCATTTCTTCAGGTTAAAAAGAAACCGAGAAACCGACTTGTCCCAAGAAGAGAACCATGATTGATTTGTTCGGACTTGAGGGAGCCTTTGATGAGTAAGTACTTATATGTTGCATGATATGATATTCAAAGTTACATTATCATGAGCATAGTACCTATTTATCTCTACACTAATCTTCAATTACTGCTCTGCCAAATTTGTTTTGCACTGCAAAAAAAAGGTGATTGAGTGTGATGGAAATTTGGACATTTTTGGGATCTAACTTTAGTAATTTGGCTTCCACATGAAAACTAGCTGCTACTTTTTGCTACTTTGATAACAAGAGTCAGATATCATGCAGGGTCTACAATGTTTTCTTGATGCATCTGACTTTCTTTTTACTTGACTTCAGCACATACAAATTTAAAAAGCTCATGTATGGATATTCAAGGCATATGGAGAGTCCTTGACTCAAGTGGATAAGCAGTGTAGCATCAGTTGGTGACATAAGAAATTTGAAACTCACCACCTCGTGATTGAGTGCAATGAAGATTGGGCATTTCTGGTTCCTAACATTGGGATTTCAGCAGGCATGTGAAAACTAGCTGCATGATTGCAGATTCAACAATAGAGTGAGATTTCATGCAGCTTCTACAATATCCCTCTCACTACTTTTCTTATATTGCTGACTTCTAATCCCATCATGAGGCAATGCAATGAGAAGTAAATATGAGATAGTTTGGAATGGTGTTCTTTGTAGTAGTCGATCCTTCGGGCAATTCCTGGAAGTAATCAACAGAACGTTAGGAAAGTACTTTTGTGCGTTCCATATTTCTTATGAGTCACCAACTGATGCTACACTGCTTATCCACTTGAGTCAAGGACTCTTCATATGCCTAAAATATCCATACATGAGTTTTTTTAATTCATATGCATTGAAGTCAAGTAAAAAGAAAGTCGGATGCATCAAGAAAACATTGTAGATCCTGCATATCTGACTCCTGTTGTCAAAGTGGCAAAAAGTAGCAACTACTTTTTATGTGGTTGCTAAAAAAATACTAATGTTAGATCCCAGAAATGTCCGAATTTCCATCATACTCAATCACATTTTTTTTGCAGTGCAAAACAAATTTGGCAGAGCAGTAATTGAAGATTAGTGTAGAGATAAATAGGCACCATGCTCATAATAATGTAACTTTGAATATCATATCATGCAACATGAAGTACTTACTCATCAAAGGCTCCCTCTAGTCCGAACAGATCAATCACAGTTTTCTTCTTGGGACAAGTCAGTTTCTTTCTAACCTGAAGAAATGAGGGCAAGGAGAGATAGATTTTCGTTAAGTTTATAGCATTCTATCTAGAATAAGGTTTTAGCTTTCTTTAATGTAATTGCAGTTTTCTGAAGTTTAGTTATTTGGTAATTGAGGGGTAAAGTATCAGAATTACATAAGAAAATTCAACTTTTTTAATTTTGGCCAGGAAAATGGCCTTTTGTCCCACTTTGCACTGGTGCAAATGTGCTTTGCACTGCCATGTTTAAAGTTACTGTGATATTTTTAACCAAGATCAGATTGTTCAGCAATGCTTGGATGGGTATATTTGTGAGTTCTCACAAGAGGTGTGACAGTGTTGAAATCTGGCTGACATCTATCAAAATATTTTATTCCTGATTATATCCTGATAAAATCCTACTAATAAAAATGTCTAGCAGTTATGAATTTCTTTCCTTTTTCTTCAAGAAATACATAAGTTGCATATCATTGGAAAATTCTCAAGCTCACCTTTCCAAAGATACTATGAGGGGTATTTACAAAGTTCTGGGAATTTGTTTACTAATTTTTTATTAGGCTAATTTTCTTTGATATTACAGTGCAATTTTTTAACATAATTACCGTTTAGCTGTATACATTTGTACCAGTGAGTAACTAACTTTCTTAGTCCAACTTCAAAGAACTTTTGTGGAGTAGGTTCTATCCACTCATTTATCACTTCTTTAACTTCAGATAGAGACTCAAAATGGATTCCTCGAAGAGGTTTCTTCATTTCCCCAAACAGATGATAGTCACTGGGAGCCAGGTCTGGAAAATAGGGCAGGTGTGGCAGCAATTCCCAGCACAGATCTGATGAAACAGCCTTCGTAAAATGAGCAGTGTGTGGCCTCGCATTGTCTTGTTGCAGTAATGGTTGGGAATGGAGCTTTCCTGGCCGTTTTTTCTTGAATACCTCATGCAGTGGTCCCTTCAGCAAATCAGAGTAATATTGTGCATTTATTGTCAGTAATCAATCGTGATTATTCCCTGGCAATCCCAAAACACCGTTATCATGACCTTACCAACTGATGGCATAATCCTTGTTTTAAGCAGAGGGCCATCAGAAGGTTGCCGCCATTCCACGGACTGAATTTTTGTGCATAGTAAGGTATCCAGGTCTCATCTGTTGTGATGATTCATTGCCAGAAACTATCCCCATATTGTTCCTGTAGAGCCAACAACTCGGAACAAACCTCCACACGATCGAGTTTCTGTTCTGGCCCTAACAGCTGCAGTACCTATTGTGCAGAAACCTTGCTCACTCCAAGACAGTCATGTAAAATTTCATGAACTTTTCTGGAACTGATGCATACACTTGCTGCAATCTTGCAAATGGTGATTTGTCTGTCTTCCATTAACATTTTCTCCCCAGTAACAACATTTTCTTCGTTAACAGCAGTGTTTGGTCAACCACTGCAGGGGTCATCTTCAAGTCTCATTTTTCCATTCTTAAAGTGATAGTTCCAGTGATAGATGGTACTTTTAGATTCAGAAGATTCACCAAAAACAGCTTTCAAACGTTGAATAATTTCAGACCTCCTAACACCTTCCTTCCATGAAAAGAAAATGATAGCTCTTTGAGAATTTACTGCATCTTCCATGACTGGCAAAGTGTACCCCATGTGAACACTGACAACTTCTTACTGACACAGGCCCAGTGAATAATATTTTGAAGTCGTGTTTATGACAAGCTTAAGTATGTGTGACCAACTTTGCAGTAGGCTTCAATCAGTTGTTGCAGTGATAGAACAAAATTCCCAGAACTTTGTAAACACCCCTTGTAACTTGGACACTTTAAGTCATCTTCCACATTGAAAAATACTTGACCAAAGTTGGTGTAGAAGTGGAATTTTCACTTTTTGAGTATGTTTCTCAATGTAGAAAGCTAAAAATCATATTTACATGTTAAAAAGGAGTGCAACTTACTGTTATGTGATATCTTTTCGTTTTCCACATGGGGACATGGGAAGGTCAAAGTTGCATAAAGTCCACATTTTCAAATTCAGCTACAATGCCAATATTTTGTTCAAACTGCAATGATGTATGGAGTGAGTTTGTCCACCTGTTATAGAGCTCCAATTCAAGCTATAGCTTGCTTCTGGGCATCTGTACTTGTGATAGTCCTTAACCCTTTACTGCATGATTTATGGAAGCCTTGGAGAAAAACATTCAACTTTCATAAGAAACATACATTTAATAAGTATTTATATTGTCCCCAATCAGGAACATCCAAGGATGTTTCAGAAATTCCCCATTTGCCACGCAGTGAGTCTTCAGCCATTCTATAGGGTTCTTATGAAGTTTATTGGCATGTTCAAACACCAGTATCTTGAGTACTAGTCATCATAGAGCAATAATATTTGGTGAACATGTTTCCCTGGTCAACTACAATGTCCACTACAGCTTGTAGCCATGGAATGACATGATAGACAGCTGAATGTAGCTGTCCAATGTTCAACAAGGTAATATGTCAGATGTCTTCTTTCAAGTCAGTTAAGGTAGTAGGCACATAGCTAACTTGAGATATCTCCACAACCAGAAATCAATTGGAGTCAGGTCTGGAGATTGTGGTGGCCATGCATGAGAAAAATGTCTGCTAAGGCCAGGACTACACTAGGTCTCAGTTTTCTGTTTTCAGTGCTGAAAAGCTTCAAGGCTACACTGGTCTCAATGGTGGCAATGGAGGACAGTGTAGCCTTGAGACCTAATGAAGGCTCAGCCTTATAGTACCAGCCTATGCAAATGTAATGACGAGTGGAGCCCTCTGGTGGAAAATGTTGTTGACCATAGAATCATGTTCCCCTTGGTCTCAAAGGTGTGTCCACTAAATATTATTGCTCTATGATGAATAGTACTCAAGATGCAGGTGTTTGAGCATGCCAATAAACTTTATAAGAACCCTGTATATAAAAAATTATTCTAGTATGTTCCATATTGGGAACATGATGCAGTAAGGGTTAATGTAATGTCAGGTATTGATAAGTAAAGGTTACATTGTACTTTTAGACCAGAGAAACTAATCTTTTTTATTTATGTTAGTTATGGGTTGTGTCATTCAAGGTTTGCAGAATTCAGGGCCACTCACCAAGGGAAGATGGAGGAGCGCATGCCCTTCTTTTCCTTCCGTTTCCCCTCCTGGTTCCACCAAAAATATCCCAAGGCCATGGCCAATTTCAGGTCTGCTTTTTCTGCCTGTTGATTTTCTAGACCATGTTACTTGCTTCATCCTATCACTCTTCAGGGATACTTATGCCTCCAAAATAGTTGGGATGAGAGATGGGTTCAGCTGCTGCATAAATTGGCTGCTAGTCACTTAAGAAAGTTTTGGCAGAGGAGTGTAATGAAGAATATTTGATGTTTCATCTTCTTTCAGACTTTGACTTAGTATACATATACTCAATATCAGAGTATAATCAGCATTTAATCAGCACTATACAAATTGAATGATACATTCCTATATGAAGAATAACCATCTCAGGGCAAAGTGTGCTTGAGGACTAGATGATTCTTTATACAGGGTGATTTTAAATTTGCCAAACCCATATATTTGCATATATCACTGTTACACTTGTGGAAACAACATATAATTGGGCCCACATGCAGACCTGATGTATAAGGTCACAATGCGTTACAAGAGATGTTGGAAGTGCCTGCCATTCTGTGCTAAACACTTAAGGAGCAGGCATTTGTGAACAATCCACACTCAATTAAAGAGCTAAAGGACACCATCATTGAGTTAATTGCTGACATTCCCCAGGACATGCTCCACCACATTGCCAAAAACATGTGTTGTCAGGTTCAAGCATGTTTAGCACAGAATGGTAGGCACTTCCAAAATCTCTTGTAATGCATTGTGACCTTATACATCAGGTCTACACGTGGGCCCAATTATATGTTGTTCCCGCAAGTCTGACCAGAGATATATGCAAATGTATGGGTTCGGCGAATTTAAAATCACCCTGTATATTTTCACCATGTTTGCCATTCCATGATGGTGTGATTGGCATATTGCTCTACCACTATTGTTCATGCATGGACTCACATTTGTGTGAGAGTTGTAACAGACAGTTGATGGAGGAAGTTTTTTTTTTGATCAGGCGAAATGTGGAGCTCCTGTCAACTCCTTTTGACATTCATGAGACACTCCTGAATGTAATACACTTCAAGGGAGAAGACCACAGGAATGATGTTGAGCAGAGAGCCCTCAGCCTCTTTGCACCAGTGAGATCACACAGACTGACTCCCATGTCCCATGTTCTTTACCTTCAATCACTTGACAATTGAATAATGACAGATCCCAGTGGAGAGAACATGTGGGAATGCATTCATTGAGCCTCATTGGTGTGCCTGCCTCCACTGGAAACCCATCCCAAATTTCAAGGTTGACCCCATGGTTCAGCGTGTTGCGCAACATGTCATCAACACCATTGATGAGTTCAACCAGAACTCAGGTGGACAGGACCTGTGTGCCAGGCTTCAATTGGGTGACACCCTCTGGGCTGCAGTCTTTCACTCTAGTCCAAGTATGTTTTACACTTGTCTTGATGAGAAATCTCTCTGAATGCTCTGAAGGAATCATCAGCTTTGTTCTCTGGTTTTTTGCATGGTTCCTTTAATCCTCTCATTCAATTGAGAATGAGAAATGAGGCTTAGGTAGGGTTTCCAGCTCCACTGATTCAATCAGGAGATCCCCATTTAAGGAACAGTCTCCCAGTCAGACAGAGAGTTGGCAGCCCTAGTGTTGGAGTGAAGCTTGTACCAATGTGTTTAGGAGCATAACTGTGTCAAACATTACCAAATTTTTGCCCCAATTCACTTCTATGGATTTTGTTTTCAAAATTCTTTATCCTGTAATGACTTTTCAGTAGTGGCAGGGTGGAGCACAACCATCCCCTTACTTGCTGTCTCCATGCAGCCTCTTCTGTTCTCCTTCTCTCCTTCATACTTCATATTCCCCTTCATCTTGCCTGTGCCATATACTAGTATGAGGGGATTAAAAAAGAGTACCCACCATTTTCTGTGGGAGATAGGTAGCATTATATGGGGTGGTCCAAAAGTCCTGTCTCATAAAGCTAAATCAAATGTTCAAAATGGATACAGTTAAAAGTTTGACAAACATGGACATGATGATGAAAGTTATCATGCACATGTGCCAGTGAAGAGGAAATAAATAAGAAAATAAATTCCCATGAGGCAAGACTTTTTAGACTACCTAGTATAAGCCAGTGTTTCCCAGCTGGTGTACCATTAATAAAGCTCAGGCGTGTCACATGGAGATATGGAAAAAAGTAAGAGGTACGAGGTGAAGCCTTTCCTTTCCCACAACACAGACAAGGACTAACAATAGCATCAAGTCTGAACCTCAAAGTTTACTCTTGGCATTCCCCCCCCCCCCTTGCCCCTCCAAGCAGCACTCTAGGCAATATATAGGAATTCACAGTTGAATAAATTGAAAAAAAAAAAGGTACAAGGAATTTATAAGTGTGTCACTGATCAAGAATGGTTGGGAATCCCTGATGTATACAACCAACAATGGTAACATAGATAAGGTATTCACATTGGAAGGCTGATGAATTGTCAGAAAGAGGATCAAGTTTTTGCAGTACCCATATAGTGAAAATCAGAGGTCCCTTCACAAAACAAGGTCAGAGAAACTTGGGTTTGAAATCTGCCATTGGGGTACAAAAAAAAAGTGCCATAGCTTTCATTATTCTAACTTTCCAGTGATATTGCCTTTATTGGCACAATAACTACTTTTGTAATTAATAACCAACTTTCATTATTTAAATGTGGAAAAATTGTGTAGTAGCTATAGCACTGCAAAGTTACAGGCTACATTGGCTCATGGATGCATGGACTTGTTCCTACCTCCCCACCAATTCGCCACAAGTGTCATTATTCTTTCATTGAGAAGTGAAATATTAGTCATTTGAATTTGAAATTTTCCTTTAAAAAAAAATCAAGTTTGATTATTTTAGCATATTTTCTTCCCCCCTTTTAGCTCAATTTAAAAGAGAACAAGAGTTAGCATTCAGGGACTGGAGGCAGGTCATTTTCATATTATTGGAAAATTTCAGTCATATCTTGGCTCGCATCTGGCAACAAGACCTATTATTTTGGCTATCTGCTATTCTAATCATAATTTGATTCCATGCCAAATTTAATTTAATTCTGTGATAGGTGGGCCCAAGGGCATGCTTGTGGAATGTTCCACCTGTAAACTGCACAATGGGACATTATATGGCTCACACAGGTATTGACAAAAACTTAATCATCATTCCACTGCCTTGTAAGCCTTCCAATGTCAATGGCTTATCTATTTTATGTTTGTTGGTTGCATATACAAATCTACCTCTCACCTCTACAGTAAACAATGGGGATTTTAAAAAATCACCCTACACACCAATCTACCAAGGGATGCTTGCAGAAATGGGCCTTGCCCAGCTTTTCTTTCAATGCTCACCAGGTAGCACTTGAGTTTGACAAAAGGCTACCATTGGCAGCATGCAAAAGAGATCAGAATCTCTATGTTGTGTCAGGGTCCCCCTTTGCATTGTTGTCTAGTGGTTGCAATTTTAAAATAGAGCTGCATGTTTCACAGGAATAATGAAGAAGCTAATATTTTCATTGCACTTTGAAAATTAATTATGGTTAGTTAGAAAATGCATGTATTCCCTGTAATAGACCCTACATGTATATATGCTTTCTTGATAATTTTTTTTTAACTACTTCAGCCTCAGTGATATACATGCAGATGTCCAGCCTTTCCTTTGAAATACTTTTGATTCCCTTTCCTCTGGTACCTCCTTCATTGTTTCTCATATTTGATGTCTTATGAGAATTGCAAAAATGATACTGAACAGTGTAAATTTTTAAAGGGGATATTAGAAAGCTCATGGGCTGATGTAATAAATCTCCATCATGAGTCTTTGTTCTTTGTGTCTTACCTTGTCAAAGTAACACCCCTCATGTATTATGTGCTTTCTTAAACCATGCATACAGTACTGGAACCCTGGTAGGAGGCCATTTTCTCAGAGAAGCGGGGTGCAGTGATGTTAGTCTTTATCTTGGTATCATTTCTGACCAGCACAATCATGCCTTCATGTGAGGGAATAGCCAGAAATCTCATGGAGCAGGGTCTGATAAATATTGGAAGAAGGGGGGGGGGGGGGGGTTAGTGTTCCAAGTGGTTAACTCATAATGAGGTGGTGGCAAAGAGCCTCTCTTGCATAATGTGCAATCTTGGATTGTTCTTGTGTGATGACCTAATTCAATTGGTCCATGTATACTGTGCATGAAAACAATGTTGGCATTGCCTGAATGCATCCTGTAGAACTGCTGGAGTTCAAGAAAACAGTTGACAAGGATGGCTTCGTGGCAGAGTTGGATTCACAGAGTGCAACCAAGGCCAGTTATATTATATACCAAGTGAGTGTGAGGGCAAGTCCTGGTGAGGGTCTCTTTGAGGCATCCATCACCCATCACATTGATTCTGACTCCCTACATGTTAAGGTGAGCATGGCATGCTGACTTTCATTTGATTACAATGGTTGCAATAATATAATAATAATGGTTACAATATGATTTGACAGTGCAGTGTTGAACAAATCAGTATCATACCAATTAGTCACCTTGACAAAACCAAGTTAGCAATTTTTCATTGATGAAAGTATAATGAAACCATGAATGCCATTGAATTGGACCTCTGGCTTTGGAAATGGAAAAATGTGATTTTTTAAGTTTTTTACCCTCTTCAGCATTTACCCCAAGGAAGTCTGAGAGTGGAAGGTCCTGTCTATAATACATTCAACATATTTCTAGCTCAGTAAATGAAACAATTTAAACTCAGGTGATGTATGCATTGTATGCATGCATGTCATGAAATGCAATTTTGTCAAAAGAAACATTGGCAAGACAAGAAAGATGTTGGCAAAAGAAAAAATAGTGCTGGAGTGAAAACATTAAATTAAAAAAAAGAGTGCTAGGTGGTTAAGTCTAATGTGTCACTGTGCTGGATGTTGGATTTTAGAGAAGAGTGTGTTTGATATAAGGAAAGTTGAATGGGACAGTCATGGAACTGAGGGACACATCCCTTAGTTGTCCCGGGTGCGTTCTTGCTGCACTATTATGTGGGGTTTCATAGGCAAATTTGCAAATGCGTGTGTATGTGACCTCACCATTACATTTATCGTACCAGCAATGTTTGATTTATATAAATAAAAATGAAAACTCTATGGCAACTACTAGTATTCGGTTTCAAGATGAATGCAAAAAAGTTGAATGTGATATGGAATTCAAATGTGAGACTGTCATGGATGGGAGTCAAATGACTCATTATCACATCAGGACATCAGATCATCAGATAAATCAAATGAGACATACTTGCTGGATGCTGGACCTTGAAGAATACAGTTAACTCTTGATATAGCGCCACTTGATATAACGCCACTCTCGCTTATCACCAACTCCTTCTTGAGAACAAATCTTTCCTATAGGCTTACCATAGGTGCTCTCCTGTTATAGCGCCACCCTCACTAGCCGCCATCCACCAACATCTTCACTTGCACAAAAGTATCATATTCTACATAAGTCCTACTCACAATTGCGCCATGCAGCAAACTGTACCTGCCACAATCATTGCACTGTGTATAAAATTTAAGGCTGCCAGCCGCTCCTTTCAATCTCATGATAGATAGCAAGATTGTGAGGAATATATTAATGTTAAAATGGACCTCTATGGATTATAGGGGGGCATTTAGGGTTGCCAAATCTGGCCTAATCCTGTCACTTCTTTTGGGGAATGGAAATGACTCATTCAGATTGTGACAACTTCTCCAGATGATAATTTGTGTTTATTTGTTATCCAGTGATGGGGGAAAAGAACAGTTTTAAGTGTGAAGGAAATATTGTAAGTGTGCCATTAGAAGGAGGCATATGTGTTCGAAGGTCAGAAAAACTCTGAAAATTTTTTCTGCGTTTTGGGGCAATAATGTGAGCAGACAATGCATAGGTGTTATATTCATTAAAATAATAAATTATTGGATTTAATTGTAGATGGTATAGATAGAATCATTTTTCAAAGCTGTGTAGTTGGTGTATTCTGAGTGGATTAAAGTGAAATTTTGTGCATATTTTATATACCTGTAAATTCGAAAAAATTTCTAAATTTTAAAGCCATGCATTTTGATTTAGCACCACCATGCATATGGTGCAAAAATTGGCTGAGACCAACAGTGGTAGTAAATCGAGAGTTGACTCTTAGTTTATTTGACAAAGAAATCAATTGTGGTAGCCCATTCATGATAACATGGCAATTTACATCATGATGTCACTCAATTCCAAACATATTGGGATGCATGATTGAGTGTGCAGGAACCACTGGTGACATTTTTTAGGGGTGATAGCAGTCGTGGCTTCCTGTCTCAACTCTGAAAGGATGGATCCTAGATACTAGTGAAGGTTCATCCCCAGTTCAGTCGCTTGATCACGGTTGTCAATCCATATTTGCTCTCTGCCAAGAGTTGCTTCAGGTGACTCTTGAAGCACAAAAAAGCTAACTCAATGCAATTTAGGAATAGAGAATACTGGCAAAGCTACCAAGGTACATGTGGGATATGGCTTGAGGGAGTTGTGCTGATGCACATATCAGATGCTCTTTCTTTCCATCACCACTGCAATAATTTGATGTCCATGTTGATTTCAAAATTTTTTTTTTCTATGTTTGACTGTTTCATGTCCATATTTGAATCAGGAATTCCATTACTTGCATTTTTCAGGGGTGCTCAAAAATGCTCCTTCCACCATTTTCTCTTTGGAATTTTTTATGGTAACACAATTGCAGGGCCAGCTTTGATTATGGCAGGGTACATTATTGGCATCTATTCTTGTAGTTGATCATTTTCATTCTTCATTATCTAACATGAAACATTGCCAGTACAATAAATGCAAGAGTGATCCAACATACTGATGCATTGGTGAATTTGCATATGGAGTCATGTGTAATGGAAATGCAACAAGAGGGCACAAGCCTCCTGGCATGGCCAAGAAATCCGTCTGTTACATTCGACTTTGCTTATGTTGAACATCCTTTCATCTAAAATCTGACTTACAGCACAGTGATGCATTTGACTTTCCTTGCATTAGACTTTCTTATTAACACATTTGAGTTCAAAAACCTATAGTATTTTATTTTGATCAAAAAAGATCCTTTTTAAATTTACCTCTTCCAGATGGAGGACATTGGACGAATCAATAAATATGGACCCCAAGCCCGCTGCCTTTCAGATCGGTTAGAGCATCTTCGCAAGTTCTGCTACTGCCTTCATGACTAAATTCCTCCTACTCCATTCATCCTGCATTCCATGGAAAAAATATCAAGGTTTATGCCACTTTGAAGAAGGGACTCATGTCAAGTGAAGAAAACAAATTTAAAAAAAGTATTGTTGGTTTGACATCCCCTTATTGGTACATGTCTTGTGCCACTAGTGAACAATCAGCATGTTATTACTTGCTGCACATAACTTTATGGAAGATGACATTCTATACTCCCAAGTGGCATATGCTGTCATAACTCATGTGATCCCATCAAAAATGACTAACAGCTTCTTGGATCCCAACAGTAAAACATGGCATAATAGCAGTTAGTCAATTCCATGTGCAGTTAACATACTGCACCATTGTAGTTTGCATTTGTCATTTGTTCCTGACAGTATTGATGGTACAATATCATTTTATTTATTTATAGTTTTTAAGTAATTTTGTGTCTCCTAAGCTAGGTGATCCTGCTATTCCAAGGCTATGTCCAGTTCCAGTCTTGAGATTCACTTCCATGGTTGTGCCATTTCATTATTTCTTTCTAATTTTCCACATATTTCCCCATCTGATCTCTAAGATGGCATTGCTTGTACATCTTGTGTTGTGAATCTGACAGCAATTACCTTTGTGGGTTCATGTTGCTGCAGTACCAGAAAGCCTAAGATTGAAATCTGGAATCACAAGAAATAAATCAGGAATGATGAAAAGCAAATATCTTGAAATATATAAAAAATAAATAAAATAAAATGTATCCCAAAACTGTCATTTGGGAAACATGCAGGAGGAAGGGAAAGTCATATGGAATCCTAGGTCCCTCTTATGGCAGAGTTATCATGGCCCTCCCACTTTGAAACTAATATACCTTTGTGTGCATTTCTCATTAACCACTAGATTTACTGATTAAAGTAATGGACTTTGATGTGGTAATCATTCTGAAAGTAGCAGTTCATATATGGCTGCATTTTCATTGGTAACATGATCACTTTGTCTCACATTTCATACACTCTACTAGAGCAGGAATAGGAATGACAAAGAGCACATGGAGTGAGAGAAACTGAAGCCATGAAAGGGTCAAGACTGCCTGGAGCTAGGAAAATTTTCAGATGGATGTGCTTTCCTTTTCCCTCCTCTGCTTATTCTTTTTTGATTTTCTATAAATATTTTGGAGTTGTTTTTAAAAAATGGGATATTATCTGAAGGCATGCCTATGACTATACATTTGCTGGACCCCTTCATGAGCTTTTCATTTCTCATTAAATCCAAATTTTAAATTATAAAAAAACTGACCTACCTCTTAGTTTGCTCAATTCATTTGCTCCAGGGGGAGATTATGCCTGTGAAAACCATCTTTTGAGGTTCTTCAGTTTCTAATATCTGTGAAGTCAAAATTTCAGGAAAGCAATTTTTCTTGTTCTTCAAAAAACATGATGCTTGTTCCTCTGTTAGAGCCTTAAGAAGAAAGATCTAGTTTCATTCATGGTGCCAAATATTTTCTTCCAGACTCTGATTAGTGCTCCAACTTTTCATCCATTGCTGGCAGTACCTAAAAAAAATTAGAAGCAGTATTAGAATATAATATTGTGACATCACAAGTGGTCAGATCAATCCTCTATTGCCAAAATATCTTCAATCAATAATTTTACCTTCCTATTTTCTGAACCCTTAGGTATGGATTAGGTATGGATGGATTTTGAGTGTTAAGGCTGGTTTGGTCCAAACAAAATTTCTGGAATTGTGGAACCCTCATTTTCTTAAGACAGAATATTTAAGTCATTAACACGTTGGCGACAATGCGTCCTGATGCCAGGATGCAGATTTTTTTTCAATGAATACCCTCTGGAACTGTTGAGAACGTTCCAGAAGATTATGATTTCGTAATTACTGATAAAAATTCCAAAAAATTCAACATTTTAAAAAAACTCGGCAAAAAAAATGTTTTCTGGGACCATGCGTCCTGATGGCAGGACGCATTTTTTGACAAAAAAAAAAATGAGCGTGGTCCCACGCGGCGGACAAGCAAAAATAGGCTGGTTGTCAATGTGTTAAAGATTAAAACACAAATTAAAAGATGAAGGCCAAAAAAATAAACATGCACACTCTCAATTCAGAAGAAAGGATCAATTGGACAAGAGAAATTTCACAAAGTATTTGAGATTTGATGGCTGTACTGGATCCAAAGATATCTTATGTAAGGATTGCATTTCACTTGTATTTAGGATCTTATGAACCTCCAGGACAGTTATTGATATCCAATCAATTTGTCTGCTTGGATAATGACTTATGTAGCTAGAAGGGAGAGTGATTTATTTTGTATGTGCAGTACAGATGGCAGGAAGAGAAAACAATCCAGTTGTATTCAACAAGTAATTCTAAGTCTCTAAGATCCTTCCCTTTGTATATCCTTCCCATGTTGATGTTTGACAATCACCTTTGATGGTTGTAGGAGGGAATATGTCCATCTTCCAAGATAATTAGTTGGGAAAAAATTTGAATCAACATCGTGCAGAATTTGCCTCTCACATCTTTCTCTGTATTACAATCCCAAAAAATTTAGAAGCACAAGTTAAGGCTACTTTGAATTGCTGTTTGCAATTGGCAAACTGTGAACAGCCCAGGGAAGGTATGCCAAATAATCTCAGAACATCTTAACAAAAGGTTGAGATGTCCCAAGATCACATCACTACTTACATCAATGTATTCTGTGCCAGTCGGATGTATCATCAAAAAATCTGTTCAATCAGGATGGGCAAAGAAACAAATTGGAATAACTTGTGAATTCATTTCCAAGGTTTTCAATGGGATATTAATGAACCTGTGTAAGATGTCCATAAATGCAGCAGTTTTAACATCACTACTATGATAAATTATGATTGTAGGGTTGGGTTTTAATTTTACTGCTAATGCCATTTCAAAAGGAAGTTCCAAATTATAATTCTGCAAAACTTGGAAGAGGTAATCAGATTGCATGAGATGATTTCTGGCTGCAACTTCAAAGACATGATTCAATTGAGATATTTCTTCTTGCAAACACAGACTTGTCATTTTCAGGCACCAAATCAAAAGCTGAACCACTCACACTCACTAATCACTTCCAAAGTTACCACAAAGTATTTTCAAGTTGAAGCTTCAGAATATGAAGTTTCCCTGTCAGATTCTTATCAATATGAGTTTGAACACCAATGCTCTCTGCATTCTGGCCCACATTCTTTGCAGAGGTGTTTACAATACCAACCTGTTCTCACAAGAGATGAGTAATTTGGCAGTTTGGGAAAGGGTGACTATTTGATCAATTCTGACACTAAGTCTTTCAAAATCTTTGTTGGTTACTGTTTCTAATAACCATTTGAGTGTCTTCCCTCCCATGTCAATGAGTCCTTGCTTTGTTCAAGGATTGTCTTCGACAGCAACAATTTATTGAATCTTTTGCAATAATTTTAGAGTTTTTACAACTTCCTCGTTTAGATATAAAGTTTCCTCTCGAATTTGGTACAAAATTGGATCTGGGAAATGCCGACCTTCCTCTTCAGTGGGTGCATCATTTCCTGTAGGTGTTCTTTTTTTTCTATATGGTCCAAAAGGAATGTGGTGAGGATCCACTTCTCACCAGTCAAGACAAACTCTCCCTTTTTCAAGATGAGCCTGTCCGTCACTTGTTCATCAGAAATCCTGTTGGGTTTTCTATTAGGAGGCAAACACAACACAACTTGTGACAATGAACAGTCAGTGCAGATGTATCATCTGTAAAATTGAAATGGATCCAGGTTTTCGCTCTTTGACTTTAGCTACTTTTCTCTGATGGATCTTTCCATTTACTTTCTCTCTGACTATAGCTATACCTTTGTTCTTCACACCTTCTACTCAAGGGTCATCAACTTCCCCCTAACTTTTTTGGCAGCAGTTTAGTGCCCTACCGAGGACATGGCCATGGATGCAGGAATGTCATACTCAGGACATCATGTTCAGGCTTTAACAAGCATTTCTACTAGCATCCAGAGTCAGTCTAGTATATTGTGGATGTATGGGGCTTGACCTCCTGTCTTGATGCAAAGATTGTCAGACCTCTTTGGCCAGGTAAGCCTTGTCTTGATCTTAGGACTGAATTGGACTTTCCTCTTTGGAGGTTGTCATCTCATTGGCATGACCCAAGGAAGGTCTTGGGCTGGTCCCCTACATCTCAGGGCTCTGGTTGAAGTGCCTTCCCCCTCTCATTTGCTGTCAGATGTCTCCTGCTTTTTGCTTATTTTCTCCTGTAATGAAATAGGCCCTTCACCTCTCAGTTCCAAGTTCATCTTTTACCTGCTGATTTTTGGTGATAGAATTTCCACAGCTTTTGTTGATGAATGAGCTTTTGCTTTTGGCATAACAGCCTAGAACACAAAATTCATTAAATGTTAACCCTTTCAGACACTATTTAACATCGCCATTTTTCTGTTAATAGTGGGAAAACATGCTTGAAGATCAGGCAACATTACTTGTACAAAAAATATTGCTTATGCCATCCCTCCAATAAGTAAGACAAATATTTTTACCTTACTAGAAGTTCATTGAGGTGTGGTACACCCTGAAACAATCAAGGACATGAAGAACTACCAGACACTTTTCACATTCCAACGTTTCACTTCACAAATGACACCAGCAATCAATTTTTTCCTTCCAGTTTTATCAAGAAAATCATAGATAATTGTGGATATATCAGCAAAATCTATACCACAAATTGAAGAGCAAAGCTTCCTGTATTGGTAGGTCCTGCTATCTGTTGTATAGTTCATAAACCGTCAAATTGTTGCATTAGGATTAGGGCTGTCAATTCAATCAATTTAATCAACCGATTAATCGATTAAAGTATTAATAGCGATTTTAAAATTTAGCCGAAAGTGATTGAATTTTAATCGACCCCCTAATCTCCCTCTGAATGCCTATTTTTCCCCTTATAATTTCTATCATATCATGTAATTGTATTCAATTAATCAAATTGACAGCCATGATTAGGATATAACAGCAACACAGGCCTGCTTGCAGACTGATTGGTGCCTGAATGGGCTAAAATAATAAAGCTAATTGGGCTTAAAGGATGCATACTCAATTAAATGCAATATTTTCACTGCCACTTGCTTTTTTGACAAATTAACCATCAAAATTATGTTTAAAAAATGGTAAAATTGTTCTGGAAACTGCACTTACCACATGTCTATGTATCCTGGACATGTGTCCCTTGGCTTTTGATTCTGTTTCGTGGTATAAATCAAGTATATTTTATTGCTGACTTGGCAATTTCATAATGCCCACTTTTTCCCAAAGTTACCCTGACTTGTGTCAAAGTTAAAACGTTCCAAGGAACTATGCAAGTATCTGACTGGAAATACTTCTAAAAGATAATTAAGATATTATATTAAGATATAATTGAGGTATTATATTGTGAAAAGTGGCCATAGTTGAAAAATATTAGGCACCATTAACTAAACTCTAATTGTCATTCTCTAAGGTTAAGTATTGTAACATGAGAGCAGGGTCTATAGTTCATGTACACAAAAATGAACTTATTGTCCTCCAAGGTAGCAATGGTCCCAAAACATCCAGAGAGACTAACTCAGTGTCCATGAACTCCTGAAAATACCTGCAAATGTCCCACTTCCCTTCCAATGGGGATTTTCTTTTCATGTCTTTATGAAACTTAGGATGTCTCAGCTCATCTCTGGCCAATAAAATTGAGTCTGAATCCTGCCCAAAATTTTCTTGATCCCAAGATGACCTGCCAACAGGAGTTCATTCATGTTCATGATATGCTGAATCATGGTATTGGGAACTACCACATTGGGAGCTATTCCTCCTTGTTCTCCCATATCTAGATATCCTGATAGATTTCCAAGCCAGATCCAAAGATTGTTCCTTCCCTTTCCTTTGTCATATGTTGGCTCAAACACATCAGGAACCTCTTCAGGACTTGCCCATGGCTTCAATTAATAAAATAATCTTGAGCTTGAACTCTTCCTTTTACTCCTCCTCCTGATTGAATGCCAGAATTCTGGTCGGTGCATCCTTGTTGGAATGATGTTGACCTGGCCAATATACCACATCACATTTTAAATTTTGCAAGAGGATGGACCATTAGCTGAGAAAGAGATCCTTCAGGTTCATTAGCCATCTCAATGGAGCACGATCTGTGATCAGAGTGAATCTTCTTCCATACAGATAGCACCTGTAGGCTTTGATGGCATTCAAGGTGGCTGATAACTCTTGAATTATGGAATGCTTTTCCCTTGAATCACTCAGTTGGTGAGAGTTGTATGAAATTAGCTATTCCACTCTGTTGTGAGTCCAACAAAGGACACTGGTAACAGCCCCCTTCAGGGCCTCAGCCACTACTATGATAGGCTTTGTGAAATTTGGAAATTTCAGGATTGGTTCTTGAAGCACAGTTCCTTTCAATTATCTGAAAAGCTTTTTTTTTTTTATTTCCCCCTAAATGAAATCCATGTCCTTCCTGAGCAGGACCATGTTTGGTGGAGAAGTGGGAATGGAATCTGTCTTGTGCATGTAGATTTCCTCTTTACCATCTCAGACAAGCTATAGCTTTCTAGGAAATCATGCTAGCACTGCTATGGGTTGCAAAAGTCATTAAATGAATAATTCCAAAAAAGTGACTGTGGAAATCCTAGCTTGTAAAAATATTTTTCCACCAAGTTCTGCCCCATTTCCTCTTTTCACCATGCTGCTCAGTTGTTCATGTTCCATGTATGAGGGGTGATTGAAAAGTTCATAGCCCGAGGCACTTCCAGTTGCAATACACCATTTTTACTTTTCTTATGAGAAGACTGATGTCTTTGATAGTGATTGGCAAATTTTCATCTCATTCATCGATTATATATACAGGGTGACTCAAAAGTCCTTGGACACCTATTGAAAAAACCTTTGGACAAGTGATAGCCAGGTGATTTTTTGAGTGAAGCAACATCTACTACAGATCTATTTGCCTTCCAAGTTTCAGGTCGAAAGCTCTTGATATGGTTCCCAAACATTAAAGAGAAGCAGTGATTTTTCAAAACCAGAGTGGTCTTCCAGCAAGCAGGATCTCAAAGCTCACCAAAACCCCTCGATCTACTATCTACAGCATTATTCGGCGATACAATGAGCTTGGATGAGCAGCAGATCGTCAAAGAAGTGGACGTCCTTCCGTGTTCCAGGATAGGAAGCTCCAGAAATGAGTCAGGCAAATGCTATACCGAAATCCAGGGCATTCTGGAAGAAAGCTTGCGCAAACCTTGAGAGTGGACAAAGAGATCTTGCGAAGATACATCAGGGAAAGCTCTGCATGAAGCCTTTTAAAANATTTCCCCAGAAGAATGGCCTGCTAGTAGTCCTGATTTGAATCCATTGGATTACAGTGTGTGGTCCAACTTGCAGGCCAAGGTCTGTTGCAAGCCACACAAGGCTTGAAGCTTGATCTGCTGAAGGAATGGAATGAATTGTCGATTGATCAGTTGTGAAGAACCGTAAATGGTTTCCCAAAACATCTGAAGCAGACTATTGCCTCAAATGGTGATGTTTTTGAAACATAAAAACATGGTTCGTTCAGTTTTTTGTGGTCTTTGCACTGGTCAAATCAGAAATTAAATTGGTCTTCATTAGAGAATGCTACACTTGATTAAAGGTGTCCAAGGACTTTTGAGTCACCCTGTTGCTTTGATGAATTGTTATCCATGTGCTACCAAGGGTCTGCTGAAAAGGTACTTTTCAATGGTGGAATTGGTTACTTTGTGGTTTTCTCTTCTTGTTAATGTAAACATACTGGTTAGAAATCAATGAATAGAAAGCTCACAACTGGTTTTTCACTGTTTGTTTATCACCTGTGATGCATCACAAGAGAAAATAGAAAAACCAGGGAGGCATTATTGTCTTTTTAATGCCATTGAGTAGTACAAGTCTAGTGCTTTGAATGGTATAAGTCTTCATAAAGTATCAGCAATTTTGGCATCAGTATTTTCTCAAAACTTCACCTCATTAGACAAAGTGTGACAACAGAGGAATAAAGCAGCAACTTCAACAGTATAGGACCATGCAGGAAACTGCATGTTCAAACTACTAGTTCAGCATGTTTTCAGGGGTGAAAGTATCATTTTTCCTTAAAAATTGTCATTTGACTTGCTGCTGTGCTTCATATTTTTGCAGACTGGATGAGAAATGAAAAAATTCAGTTTTCATTGACTGCCAAATGAGATACTCTGAATTGAGCATCTATGTTCTCTTAACATATTAACCATCCAAGGGTAAAACACTGGTCTTCCATGTGGCACCTTGTGACATGCTGGGGATCACATGGCAGTTAACATTAAGATACCCATCCAAATTACCAATAGAAGGTGTCAATCTGTTAGTGTGCCATTAGGTGGAGAAATAAATATGGTGTGAGGTCTCATGAGGATAACATCTAACCACTGTTACCAATGTCTCTTCAGCTCATCAGGCCTAATGCTTACTTGAGTGTTTAGGTATCTTAAGCAAGATGCTGTGGTTTGTGTTGAATGTCAAATTAATCACATTGCAATGTTACACCAAGCCAATTTTTTCATCACAGATGCTTTGCTTATTCTGAAGTTCCCATTCGTTGTATGCTTTGGAGGTCATCAGGAGCTTAATCTCCATTTTAGATCTTCAAGTTCTAACCAGAGATTCATGTCATTACTAGGTGACCCTTAATTTACCTTGATTTGAATCTCCTTTGTTTTTTTTTTACATCTGTGAAATATATATACTGTACTGTGGTAACTTGTGATATCACAAGCCACTACTTTTACTGAAGTGGATTTGTTGTCACATGACAGCCATGGGCCTGGGCCATTCCCATGCCACTATTTGTATATTATATGCTGAACCCCACTTTGCACGACTGAAGTCTGTAGCATCCATTTGTTGTGTGATATGAAAATGATCCAAAACTCGGTAGTGGTTCTTTCTTTCACATTTCCTCCATGATCATCCAGATATAGTATGTCATTCAGAAGATATATCTGCTAACTTTATTTTGTTGATGATTTGTACAAATGTCAGACATGCAAACAGGGTACATCACTGGGAATAATTTTCCAACAGACATAACAAATATGTATGATATCTGGCATGATGCATTTGTGAATGTAGAGAGATGTATTTGATGGGGTGTGGACATGAATTTCACAAGCAGCTAAGGAGGAACCTGATGCATTGAAAGTGGAGGCCAGAGCCCCATGCTCAGGGCCATCGGGATCATGCTATGGCTATGAGAATGCTGGGAGGTGGATGGAGTAGTGGTGGACGAAGCATGGATCCGAGCAGAGGCTACAGCTGCATGTGAATGGTCAGATGCATGTGGTGGAATGGGCAACAGGGGCAGGGCAGCCCCGCTCTTCTCTGATGACACCAAATCATGCTCCTGCTGCATACGCAATGAAGATGTGTGGTGGCGACCAGAGGCTATGGCATGAGACTGGCCACTCATAGTAGACTGAGCCAGTAGTGCAGCACGTCCACTGCTCCCCTCTAAGGATCCCAAGCTGTGCTCCTGTTTTGGCAGCAATGATGTCATGGAAACATGTGACTGATTGGTCACAGATGCAGGAATGGGTAGGAGGGGCAGGACAACATTCCTTCCACTTTTCTCTACTGATCCACAGCCCTGCTCCTGCTGTGGCCCAAACAGATGCTGCTGCTGAATAAGAGATGAGTTGATGGTGTTGTCCTTCTCATGAACACGCTTGTGCTTGATCAAGTTCCCTGATTCATAGAATCCCCGACCACACACTCCACAGGAGTAGGGCCTCTCTCCTGTGTGTATGCGTCGGTGCACAACCAGCTTGTCCCGATCCCTGAAGCGTTTCTCACAGATGTCACATGGATACGGTCGAAGGTCAAGATGCATGCGCTGGTGTTTACGCAGTGTCTGCAGCCGCTTGAAGCGCTTCGGGCAGATGGTGCAGGGGTAGGGACGCTGACCTGTGTGGGAGCGGAGGTGAATTCGAATCTGGCCTTGACGTAGGAACCTTGCTCCACACACCTGTGCAAGGAAAAAGGGGTACTTGTATGATGGAGCCCAAGACTGCAATGGACATTGGCAAGCAAACACACTGGCATTTTGTCACCATATCAATCCCCTGTATACTAAGACACTTGTGCACAATGCAGTTCCCCCTCCCCTCATCTACATGTCCCCAAATACAGCAATTAGGATAAATTTTTGCCATTGCAAGAAGGAGCAGCATGGCTAGAATTCAAATCCCAAAAAATTAAACTATGAAGATTTCTGATGTAAGGAAACCATCTAACTTCTCTGAGCTTTCATAGACTGACATGAAAATTCATAAATATGCACCCAAGCAACCCTGATGCAGTAAAATGCATGTCACTCTCCTCTGGATATAAAATTGTGAAATGCCAGGGCTCACAGCTGCTGCAGCTAAACCCTTTTACTTTCATGATTTGAAAGTAAAAGGTTGCTTTCCATGCTCCCAATTGATACAGAATGAGGTCCTGATCTTGCTGCTTCTTAGATGCCAACTGGCAATGCAATGCCAGGTGCAATTCAGGCAATGTCTGTTGTCAATCAGGTCAACATTTAGTAGCTGAATTTAGCTGAATTAAATCAATCTGTGATGACCAATAACTTAAGCTTTTCCAAAATTGTAATTATTGTATCTTCCTTGGGGCTCTATCTGTACACTTGAAATAATTTTTTTTTTTTTAGTATTTAACTCCTACAGGGTAACAGAACATTTTTCAAAGCAGTAGTTACATCCAGTCTGCATCTACAGTCAATAAGGTGATCTATTTCCAAAGGGATTCTTTGGTTGTTGAGCATATCCAGCTCCACCACTCCCAAACATTGCCCAATAACTTAACAGTCCCACTACACACCTTGTAAAGATCAGACCCATCATGTTGCCAATAGACAGGAGACAAACCTCGCAGCAGTATGGCTTCTCATTGGTGTGAATACGCCGATGCTCATCCAAGTTCCCCTTCTGGGAGAAGGCCTTGGGGCAGAAATCACATTTGAATGGCCTCTCTCCTGTGTGGATGCGCCGGTGTGAGTCCAGGTTACCCTTTTGTGTGAACTGGCGCCCGCACACTTCACACATGTAAGTGTATCGCAGCTGGCCTGGAAGGTGCGTCCGGCGATGGATCTGTAGCTCTGATGAAGATCGGAACGCATTCGAGCACTGATCACAGGCAAAGGGTCGCTCTTCTGTGTGGACCAGCATGTGACGTTTCATATACCTATGAGGATATGCAGATGAAATTATTCCCAGACTACTGATGACACTATTTCCTGCAACTCAAAAGTTCTCCAAGACTTAGTATCAAAGAACCACTAGAGGACTCCTTATCCTTATCACAGATATATTGCTTGAAATTGTATTATGTTCCTGGAAGAAATTAGTACATTCTTTGAATCATCATTAAAAAAGGAACAAACCTGTGAGAGACACAGGAATTTCTCACCATAATAATAATCTGAACCACAAATAAGTATCATGATCATCATTCCAGAAAGGATCATGAAACTTAAATTTAGAAAACTACTTTAGCAGCATAAATGACTAAAATCTTAGACTTAGATCAGACTAGGAAAAGTATGATAAGTGCAAAATTATTACAAAATTAGGTAAAAAAAAAAAAGACAATTTCAGCATTTAGTTTGTCACATTTTGCCACAGTTAACCAGGGAGAATCCAGACAAATCATTCAGAGAAAAGTTAAACCTGTAACCAACCTGCTGTTGACCATCTTGCCACAGACAAGGCAAACTTCAAGCCTGCTTGTCTGGTGAACCCTGCGATGCGTTTGGAGATCCCGTAGTGAATTGAACACTTGGGGACATGCTTCACAGCTCAGCTGCATAACAGACTCATGCTGCTCATCACAGTGCTGCACCAGGACTGCAAACCTGATCAAAAAGACAATACTCATCCTCTGCACACAATCCTCTTCTTTAGACGGGTGGCATACGAATAAGGGCACATCAGCCAATATTCACTTGGTTTGCACTCAAGGAACATGTTATGAGATTAAGCAGTAAAAGCTGACATGAACAAACAAGACATCCCTACAAGAAGACTTTTTTTCAGCAAAATTAAAGGTTGATCTTGGTAAAGCAATTAATCTTCTGACCTTTTCTAACTAGTTATTAATACTTGGTTTTGATTAACTGCTAATACACTTCCTTCTCTGTCTATGTAAAATAATGCATGTCAGTATTCTGAAGTCAGCTGACTTTTTTGGTAGATTTTCTTGTTTGCTCCCCTAATTAAACCAGGATATATTCTCAATTAGTTTCAGTCCCACACCCACCTTGTCTCACACTGCTGGAGGAATTGAGAGGGATCTGGAGCTATCTATCATGCTGCTCTTCCCTGGCTTTTTTTTCTCATCCTCCTGATATAACACATTCTTTTTCATGTAATAACTGATTAAATCCAGCACAATCATCAGATTCACATCTAGGATCTCAAGGACTCATCTGGTAAGGGAAAGCGTTTAGTTATCCTTTGACACAAGTCTATTAGAGAGGGTATGGGAAGAAGTGGAGTGAGGAAACAGGACAAAAATCAGGCAACTTCCACCCCTTCCTAGGATTCTTAGAGTTTTCTCTGAGCTTTGGTTAACAGTTGGGCAGAAGCAGATTCTCCAGCATACCAGTAACAATGGCCTTCAGCAGGCAGGTGAAGTGAGCCTGTGATGCACACTGGGGTTTGTTCAGAAAAGCTGGATCTTTCAGATTGAAGAATGGGCATTTTGATCCATCATGCAGCTGGTAGAAATGGTTTCTTGAAGAAATTGGATAGTGTTGTCTGAAATTTATCTCTTAACTCCTGGATGAAAGTTCCCAAAGTTATTTTGAATTCTGTCACATCTAACTGACATACTTGCCATGCACAGTGAAAGTGGAGAGAGCCAAGCCCTGCAAAGCCATGGAGGAAATGGCTGAATGAGAGCTTTTTTTTTCCCTAGAGTATTACCAGTGGGCATTCCCTTAGGTCAGAAGGATGCACCCAAACCAACAGGGGACAAGGACTTAGCAAAGGAAGGGTCAATGGGGGAGGGGTTGAGCTCTTAGTCCCCTGTAAATCTGTCCCTGGTCCAACTTTCACATTGTTGCTATTTTTTTCTCTCAAATCAATATTTCAAAGGCTCCAACCTGATTTGAAGGGCCAAGTCTCATATTTTGTTCATATTATTGCAGCAAAATGAAATTAAAATATATTAAAACATCTGTTAGACTAAATACCAATGGCTGATATGGCAAAAAATGAATACCAGCCAATATTTGATACCATAGTGATGCTACCTCAACTTTTAACATACTATGAATATTGTTTTAATAACGGTCTCACTTAGGGAATGATGAGCCACACTGATGACAGATGAGAGGCCGACCAGGGCCACGCTTCTTCTTTTCAGGAACCAAATGTTCCTTCTCCTCAGCATGATCTGCATCAGACTGGCTCTCGAGTGTGTTCACATAGTTCAGGGACTTCTTTGGTGCCCGGCTCTTACGCACGTGCGCTGACTTTGTCCCTGCAGCTGGAAGTGGGCCTGATATGAAAGATGCAATCCAATTCGTTGCAGGCACAGCTTCAATCCCCAGTTATCAATACCATCATTAAACAGGACAAGGATATTCCCTCTCCACGTTCTGGTACTTTCACATCTGTTTTACTTTGTCAGTGCATTTTACTGCAGAAATTATTTATTAATACAGTGAGCAAGGAGAAGTGGAGGATTAGCACATGGAATATCAGTGATATTTGTTTTAACAGAGTATCTTAGCTAATTGTCAATTTGATGACCCTAAGTATGAATGTATTGTAACCAAATGCTGAAACTGCAACCAACTCTGATGCTCACACATTTCAATTAATATAATTGTGATTAACAAGGGGAAAGAGTAGGATAATTACAAACTTAAATTGTTAAACTCATTTGAGATGGGCCATTAAAATTTTTAAAATTCTGTTGTCAGGTTCAAAGGTATCCATTGAGGCCTACCCTTTGTATCACTTTCACCCTCCTCCTCAGCTTCAGACTTTGGGCTAGAATCAAGTTTGGAGTCCTCAGAGCCATCATCCAGGGGATCACCTTCAGTCACCTCCACCATCACGAGGGGTGGGCAATGCTAAAACACAGCAATTGGTCAATCCATGCCAAAAAGCAGTTTCACAGACATGAAAGAATGCATTGACAATACACGGTATTGATAACCTACCATAGCATCCATGTCACCATCAGTATCCTTCTCAGCTTCCTCACTCTCTTTATCCTCCACCTTGTCCTTCCCCTCTTCAGTGGCATGACTCAAAGCTGCAATGCATCAAACACCCTTGTTTCACCCTTGTTTATCCACATAATAAAGTGAAACTCAAGGCTCAATAAGAGAATTATTCAAAGAAATAGCATCCAAGTGTTTTGACCTGTCCCTTTCATGCTACCTTGGATGCAAGTGTCATTCATAAAAAAAGGGTCATATAAAATATTTTTCTCAGAGTGAAGCAAGAAAAGATGTTCCAAATTGATTTCCCATACATACTTAAGGCCAATCAAGACAGATTGGCTAAGGTAACCCAGAGATCAGCTGACAAGTATTATTTCCATCTCAACAAGGCAGAGGGCATCAGGAGAGGACATAGAAAAAATCCAAGACAATATTAGTTCATGAGATATACACAACAGTGGTGAACTTCTTATACCTCTTGAAAACCTCTGGACAATCTTTCAACTCAAATTTGTATTCAGCTTTCACTTGTAGAATTCTTGTTTCTTCCAGAGATTCAAATATCAACAGTAATTCTAGATATTATTTCCATTGATAAGATACTATGCTTCTTCCACATCCACTGCAAATGCATCTTGGGATATAGGCTATTAGACAGCTGCTTGAGGACCATGGTAATTGAAAAGATATGCACTTAACAACTAGCTTTTCGCAAACCATGACAGAGATGTAATTACATCAAAGGAATTCTAATTTATCAGTAACAGGAAGAATACTAGAGCCTTTAAATGGCACATGGGTTAGAAGTGTCAAAATATGAGCAGTTTCACATCATTCACCATGACCAGGTCAGTTCATAAAAGAGAGCTAAGTTGAACAATAAGTTATTGCAGTTGAAAATGGACTGTGGCTATTCAAGACAAGAGCTAACCCTCTTTCTAAGAACCAGCTCTAAATCAGCAAAACAATATATGTTAATTGATAAGTCAATCTGTGTTTGATCTGTAACCAGGCTATGCACAGACCCTTAAATTTTGGCCAATAAGAAAATCATAATAGCAGATACTTCATGAGCCACTCACACACAGAGAGCCACTAGACAATATGTTAGGGCCCTGTTATGTATGATGTTCTCAAGGCTTCTTTCACTCATGTGACACTAACCCTGAATGAGGTACAAGGTATGCTCCTTTAGTACTCTCCATCTCCTTATTTCTCAATCTATTTTTTAAACATTGTGAAGATCTAAAAATTTTACTCTACTGGTTTTGGACTTCATAAGCCCTATAGAAGGGCTTTCCAACCATTTTTCACGCGTGATGCCAAACATCACAATCATACCATTAAGGACCCCCCAAGCACTGGACAAAGTTTGACAGGCTCTCCCACCCGTGTGCTAAAATTGCAAGGAAGAGTATAACTTGGCTTTTAGTTGCTGGTTCGTGACCTCAAATACCAGGTGACCCCAAAAAAAAGTTCTAAAATTTATACGCCAGCAGAACATGTACCATACGAGTTATCAATAGGAAATTTACAGGCATTTACATGCAATGTTTGCAGGTAATGTAACTAAAATTTCATTGAAATTGGTTGTTAACTATGAGTAACAATTTTTCTACTGTGTGAAGTCAGAAGAACGAGTGTGAAAAGAAACATGCCTGAACTCAGTGAAAGAACGGCTTGATGGGTCCTCCATGGATCGCCCACTGAAGCAGCATGCCAGCAAATGTACTGACATACTTGCTCATTTAATGACTTGTGCAAAAGGAGCTCTTACTCATGTTCAGAGCAAGAAATTTCAGTGAAATTTTCCTAAAGACACCTACCTATATTGGGTATGACACACTAAAAATTTCAAGACGATGCTTAGCATGGTGTTCCATCTGCAGCTGCATGAAGTTTAGAACTGTTTTTTAGGGCCACCCAATATGATCATGGCGACCCCAAAAGAGGTAGGAAACCCTGCCCTATGGCATCCTACCTCCGGGTTTATCTTGTTTTCACCTTCCCTGTTGCCTTTGCATAAGCAAATTATGGTATGTCCCTACCATTTAAATAAGTTATGCTACACCAGGGGGCAGACATAACAATAAGCCTAGACCAACCTGAAGATGTGGGCCTCTGCTTCACAGAGTTAGTGAGTTTTGCCTGTGTGGATAGGACAAGATAAACAAAATCCCACAGATCTTCCAGGCGTTTCAGGCATGGACAGCACATGCGTTTGGGTAGAACATCATCCTCTCTCACCTGGAAATAAAAGAAACATAAGAAGTTAGGCAGGACAAGAAGACCAAAATGTGAAAGATGCATTTTTTGAGAAAATAGGCAATTTTCAAGGCAAAGGACAATTCATTCATACCAAAATGGGGAGACACTTCTTAATGAGGAAGAATGGAGAAGTCCGCTTTGCACCTTGGTCCTTGTCAAAGATCCCCACTGTCTCTTCCTCGACAGCGCCGCACAGTCGGCAAAGGCCATCCGGAAAAAACGAACCCATCTTTTGCGATAGAAATTGGGTAAGAGAATGTTCCCAGTCTGAAAGAGGCCAGGATCGTACGCCTCCAACGCAATAAGCAGGTCCACAAATTCAGTTCACATGCGCCCTTCGTTTAGTTACTTGCGCTTTATCCTTAGGCAGGCCTTAGCCCTAACCGTAGAATGTCATAGGAAGTCAACTCGAGGCCTAAGATGAACTAATACATGGTAGTTTTGCTGAGGAACAATGACGTGAGAGCAGCCATTGTTGTGCTGGCTTGTCATGGGTGTCTGCTTGCACATTTGAGTGACAAAACATTTTGGGATCTCATTTTTACAATATGCGACTGTTATCCTTTCAAATAGAAAAAAATGTGATAAATGTATTTATCACGCTCAGCTTGCTTTATAAATAATTAAATATTAGTCAATATCACTTACCTTGACTTTCAAATGAATTTTATGGAGTGATATACCAGAGAAAGTAATCGTGCATCACCTCCAACAGATTTCTTTTGTTTTGTCGTCTGCTCTTCCTAAATTCATACTGAGCCTGGAGATATGTTTAGTCTTGGCCTTCATGTTATGTAAAGGCCTGGTGCTGCTCTTGCCTGCAGTCCTGAAAGGAAGAAATGACAGCGGAGTTAACCAGGCGAGTTTTAACTCTTTTATTCGTGAGAGAAGGAGACCGTCTTCTCTTGGGTTACAAAAAGAATGGATTCGGCAAGGGAAAGTGGAACGGATTTGGTGGAAAGGTCAAGGACGGCGAGACCGTAGAAGCAGCTGCCATCAGGTTCGGAAAGGCCTATGCATAGTGCAAGCCTGTAAAGGACCTAGGCTGTTCTTAAAAGCCTAGGCTATTTGATGGTTATATTGGCCTATGATTGGTGGAGACTGTTAGGCAAAACTGGAAGCTGTTGAGTTTCTTGTTCCCTTTTTAACGTTAGGGAGCTGGAAGAGGAGTCTGGCGTCATTGTGTCGTACACCTCATTGAAGAAGCTTGCAAAGATGGAAATGGAGTTTGAAGGATGGAATGAACTCCTGGAGATTCATCTCTTCACTACTCATACATTCTGTGGTGAACCATTTGAAACAGAAGGCAAGTTCTTAGGCTATGCTTAGTCTTGTAACCTCTTCAGCTAAGAATCACCCATTATGACTGATTTGAGGCATAACATGGACCCAGTGGATTGGTTAGGAGTGCATGACAAGTAAGGCATTCTCCATCACTTACTGAAAAGAAAGTTTTCTTTATTACTGGTCATTGAATCTATGTACAAATGCAAAAGCAATCCCCCAAATAACATGAAAGAGATGCAAGAGATTTGAAGCCTCCATAGAAAATAGAATGACAAATTTTATGCAGTCTTTTTTGAAAGATTTGGTGAGAAAGTGAAGGGGGAAGTAGAATGCTGTGTTTTCAGATGTTTCCTAAATTTATTCCTTAAACAATAGGCTTCTCCTCTGCCATCAAGTACATTTCCAGTCAAAAATGCTATGTCATTGCATTTCATTTTTACTTTCAAGCCCAAGGATCTTTGTTATGGTTTCTTTATGAAGGGTGGGTAGAAGATAATGGTTCCACTCGTGTATTGAGTTCTACATTATCTGTACATTTCTTATGTCTGATGTAGCTTTTCTTAGTTCTGGCAAAAGGAATAGCAGGAAAGTGCTAGGTAATTAAGCAGTGTATATTGTTTCTCTGCACAATCCCACAGGGCTGATTCCATTTTTAGTCACCTTGTACGGGCCTATTATAGACATTGCTGGGTTGAATTGACCACAAATTCCCTCAGGACCTAAAAATTATTCTATCATTGTCCATGATGACCCCCATTTGGAAAGTTGGAATAGCTTTGTTGTATTTTTACCTCAAGTCTGGTAGGCATTTGTACAAGGCTATAGCAGCTACTTTCTGTCATTCACATGAAGATATGAGTATCAATTCAAAAATTATTTTTTATTGAAAAATTATTCTATTCTCTTCTCCCAGTTATTCTAGTGACTGCTACCTTCAGACCAGTTTTGATGCCTTCTGCACCATAGCCATGGCATATGAGTCACTTAATATCAAGTCCCTATTAGATGAGCCAGAGAAGAAATGACACAGTGGTGTGTCATGCATTGGGGAAAATTAAACTTTGCATTCTTGGACATTTAAAATATTTTTTTTTTACCTCTGAAATTTTAAAAACTGCATGACTGTGGTGCAGTTTTGCTGCTCTTCATGGAAACTTCAGGAGGACTGGGAGTAAATGTGAATGGCTTCATTGAAAGCTTAAGCACAATCAATTTTAGATAGAAGTTAACTCAAAAACCTGATCCAACTTTTCCACTTTCTATTATTACCATTTTGTCAAAATGAATGCCTAATTTTCATGGTTTCTTCTTTTTCAGAAATGAGGCCAAAGTGGTTCCACATCACAGATCTTCCCTTTTCAGAGATGTGGGCAGATGATTCCCACTGGTTCCCCTTTCTCTTGGCAGAGAAGAAGTTTATTGCCAAATTCCAGTTCCGCGATATGGAGACCATCAGCTCCTTCTTCATCAAGCTGGTCGATGACCTCAATGCTCCTTCTTGATCTCCATCTCATCTGGGTACAAGGGATTGGTGCTGTGTTAAAAAATATTCTGTCCTTGATTGTGACTGTGATACTAAATCAAAAACTCATTTATGACAAGATTTGGCATCTGTGCCCTTCCTGACAGGAAGATAAGAGGGTAACATCCATACATTGACTACCAGCATACTGCATAGTTCATGCTGGACACATACTTCCCCAATTGCACTGATTCGCTGTTCCTGTCCATTCTATGTCAGTGCCTTCATGCCATGTGTGGCCATTTCTGCTTTGGAAGAAATTTTTTCTTGTCCAGACTGAAATACAACCTCCTTTTCCTAGAGGTCATTTTGGAAGTAGAACTTTTTTTTTTTTCTTAAGTCAGGTAAGGGACATGTGAAATGTGTTTTTTTTTTTCTAATTATGGGTTTACTCTTTTTCATATAACTTATGGAAGTGCTTCTCATATAAGAGAGGCATGCCACCTTGATGTGGCAGTTTCCAATCAGTGCTTGCTATGGCATTCCTGTTACTTACTGAATTGAAGCTGTCTTCATCATATGATTTCATAGTCTTTATGAGCATGAAATTGTAAAAACCATTCAGGTGAAAATTAATATAAAAAAATGTATGTAAAAATCTGCTTACAGAAGAGAACATAGAGAAGGAAGTAAGATTTCTCTGCCAAAAAGAACTTGCAGGAGAGCTGAAGGTTGGAATGCAAGTAGCTGTTGAGAAGAAATGAAAAATTGAAGAAGGATAATTATAGGACAGGAAGAAGGTTCTTATATTATTGTTAGATTGAAACATGATTCAAGTAAATGAAGTGAATAAATATGTAAATGTAAGTGGCAATATGTTTTTACAAGATTAAAAGAATAAAGTATCTGAGGAAACCTGTGGAAATATATTTTTTTAATTCATTTTTGGTGTTCACTTTCAATTATTCAATTCTCAACTGTAAATTATATATCTGATACTTTAATTATCTGTATATTACTAATGACATTTCAATTAAGTGAATCATGAGCCTTTTCTACCATCTTTATGATAGTCATATAAATCAATAAGTCTGCAGAAGCCACCTTCCATTCCTTCATCCTTCTTTCATCTTGTCCACGGCTTTTTGCACCTTAAACTTTGCCCTTGTAAAAGCCTATTTTTGCAGGTATGAGTGCCTGTAGGGAACTGTAATTTCTCTTCCTCTTTCTCTTTCAATAACAGACTTGATCAGCCTAATTGTTTTTGTTCTTGTGTAAAACTTGATACTGTTTGAAAATTTAACTATTTTCACAACTTGTCTGTGTGAAGAGATCTCGCTGAGTTTTCCACAGTGGTCAAATTTCTTCTGGGTTTTTTTCTGGTGATCTAGTCAACATGCTCCTGTGAGTGTTGCAGTCATGTATAGAGCAAACTAGGTTATGGTTACATTGTAAATTAGGTTAATCCATTGGCCTATAATGACAAGGGCTACTTTTCATTGCTTTCCCACATTTTTCTGTTCAATGGTGACGTAGTTCAAAATGATTGCACTCAATGGCAGGAACATGCATTTCTCTATGTTCTAGTGGAACATAGAGAATAGGCTTTGCATTTAATAGACTTTGAGACCATTTTCTCATGTAAAAGTTAATTTTTTTAAATAATAATTATTATTAGATTAAATCATATGCCAATGGATTAAGACTCTGGGTGTAATGATCACTATTTTTTTTTATAAGAAATAGACTCTCTTTATTGCAATTGATTGAAATATTTGTAATAAGATTGAAACTGCTTTCAAGATTACCATTTGAAGCTCCAAAGGTTGCACTAGTCATATGACAGGAAGATAGAGCACTCTGCCTTGCATCTCTAGTCAGCTGCTGAACTTCCATATGAACTGCATTGAATGTATTCTGAACAAACTGAAGAGTCTAATTATTAATCAAAATTTTCCATGCGGTGTTGGACATTTTACAGCTTCAGACATTCACCTTTTGCTATCCACTTTTTATACAGCTGAGGAACTCTGCTACCTTGTCATGCAAACCAGAGTGGTGAGCACAGCTTCATGTCAGTGGCTAGCAAAGCAATTGTTTCTGTAGTGTTGAACCTTTTGATGAACATTATTGGTGGTGCAAGCAACAGAAATTTTTTTTTTCATTTTACTTTTTTAAAAATATGCTTTCATTCAGGATATTAAATTCTAACATCAGAGTTCATGCTCTGATCTTTTCATCAGGCTCTTTGACAAAACAAGAGGCTTTTCCCGCATTAGCTAGTCACTCCTATCATGCAAAAGGATCATTTTGGGACTTTTTTTCTTGAACATACTATGACTGCCACAGATGGTTTTCTGTTCCCATTGATTGCCTTACACTCAGGACTTTAAGTCATCATTACCCTCCCAGGTGTTTTGTACCTGTACTCTAAAAGTTCTGAGCTCTTTTTACCATAAATAATTAACACTTGTGTTCTGGGATCTATGTATGCTCACTCACCCCCAGTTCCCTATCCCATTTTGTAAATCAAGCCATATGACCATGAATGATATGACTGATTTTTGCTGCAGATTTCAGGATGCCTGGTCTAGCTAAGCATGGCAATGAGGACAAGCACTCCTCTTCAAAGAAAGAAGATTGTGATCTGGAAAAGACAATGGACAAGATTGTTGAGGATTCTAAGTCTGCTTTGGCCACCTTTCTACAGGATGTCCATGGATCTTCTCCCATGAAGCAGATTCTCATTGGAACTGGCACTGGATGGTCTCATTCTCCATCTGCTTTTTTTTTTGCACTTTGCCTGTCTCTCCCAACCAGTTTCCTAGGCCTCTTTGCCAAGTGTTTTGTGATGTGATCAAACCATATGCAAGACCATCTGTTGCCTAACAGAGCAACTTATACTTGAGTTAACTCAGTGTTGGTAAATCTAAATTATTTTTCTTGATCATTGGAAGTTTACCATGACAGTGTATTTTCCAGAGTATCAACAAAAAGAAAATTAAAGCTTGGGTCTGCTCCATTTCATAAATCCAATTGGATTCAAGGAAAAATATATCTGGATTGAACAACAAAAAGTCACATAGTATGTGTCATCCCAGGGTAAGGGGTATTCAACAGTTTCTCATGGTATTCCATAATCATCGGTAAGAAAAAAGGATGATGATGTGTCCTTGTCTCATTTTCCAGAGTGAGTGCGAACTCGTAAAATGTGATAAAGTTTGCTTGACTCAGCTTTGATTCCAGTTTTTTTTTTTCATAGAAATTTTAGTTCAGAGTCATAGGCTTCATCATGTCTAATGACATTGTAAGGTTCCATTAGGAAAAAAGTTCCATGAATTTCACCTGAATCCCATCATGTGAGGAGCAGGTCAAGGTCATAGTGTTTTTGGGTTCATCTATAGTGCATCAGGGTACATGGTGATGCGCATGGGGAAGCTTGCAGCCTTTGCCATCGGCGGGACAACCCTTGTGCTGCTGGTTGCATCACAGAAAGGGTACATCCATGTCAATTGGAAGCAGGTCACAGATGCAGTGTCGGACACTATTCGCAATGGAGCCACCAGCATTCCCCGCGAGACCACCATCACCCGCAAGGTCTGGCAGTGCCCATTTCTATTACGTTCTGGAAAATGGGTTCATTGGGATCTTGGAAAATATATATTTCAGATAACGAAGTTTGCGGGAGAGAACATGCTGCTTACAGTGGGTTTTTTGGGTGGGTTCTTCCTTGGAATGTCATTCTCCTAAAACTGTCAACATTCAGTTGTTTCCCTTCCTTTGCACCACCCCTCATTCACACGACGACAGAGGAACCAAGTCTTCTAGTCATACATTTGGATCTTCCTGGTTTTTGAACATTTCATCCTTGGTAGTCTGTGTTTTTCAAATAAACTTGCATGCTGATGGACATCAAGTTGCCTTCTGATTGATTTTATTGGGTATGACTTCCCACGTCATTCAAAGGCTTTCAGTGGCTATGAAAGGATGGCATGACATTTTGAACCTCACAAGAAAAATTGTTGCTTTGTCCTAAAATTTCACCCTCAATAAAAATTTAAAAAACATTCTTGACATTTTGCAGCTTTCAGTCTCAGGAACTTGGTTTCCTTTCCCAGTGTCTCATGAAATAATTTATTTACGTCATCCAGCATCCAATCAACTTCCAATCTCATTTGCAGCGTTGCTTATAGGTCAGCTTTGCTTGCGATGGTCGTCAGCGCAATTCGCGATTTTCAATTGCCCCACTGCCGGAGCAGTCTGCAACTGTCAGCTTTCGAGTCACTTGTGGCCATTTGACCACATTCACCAACGGAGAAAATATTCGAAGAAAATTTACTTTTCCCCTAACCCCAAATATTTTCCTTCTGCATGGTAAGCCTACGTTAACCTTTGCGCTATACCTCGACTCTGGATGTAAATGCGAGCAGAAATGATAGTTGAAGTTCCATCCGACACCTGAGGCCAATTTCATGGAATTTACAAGTTACAAGTGATTAGCTAGTAACTACAAGTTCCAAAATTTTCTGTTTCATGGCACTCTTGTAAATTGCTACACAAGATAGCCAATCATGGCATGCTATGGGCAAAGTGTTTTTACCTTTCTTGGCTGCCAGCAACGCTCCTAGCAAACCGATATATTTTACTAGATAATATATACTTAGGCTGATTCAACATTGATATTCAATATCCATAACCGTACATTGCACAGCAGAAGTACCGCCGTGAAAAGGCTCGGGAACCAAAATTACCCAGGGATGGATTATATCCTAACAGGACCGTTCCAAACATATAGGCACTGCTAAGTGACCTATGACCGAGATCCGCATTACTTCTTCCAAATTTTAGGATGAATGTTTACGAGGGACTGCTCTCACTGACACACTGCCCCATTAAAAGAGTGAGACACTCCTTAGAGAAGGAGTTTGACAAGTCGACCTGGACCTTTATTGGGCCATTATCTTTTGCCAATTTTGCGCCAAGAACATCAAGGCATCCTAGTCGTGAATACTGTCCTCCAAGGAGGGACCCAAAGATGGTACCAATCAAGAGCCATGAATGGGACAAGGGAAACTGCCAAAACTGATTATATGGCGACGTTGCCAAATGCGAGGGCCATTTTTAGGCCAAGTTTTATTGATAATCTGGAGAGGAGAATAAAAAGTCAACCAGAAAATGCTCTAAAACAAGGATCTTTCCGTCAATACGACAGGAGAATCGGAAAAATGCAAGAATGAAACGGAGCATTGTGTTCCAGCTCTTTTGGATGCTACGTCTTTCTATCTTGGCTGAGTGGACTGTGGGAGCAACTCTGAACACTTGTAAACTTGTAAGTACAAGTTCTTGTAATTTCTATTTCATGGAATACTTGTTACTACTAGAATCGTAAATTACAAGTGTTCAGAGATGCCGTCACAGTCCAATCAGCCAAGATTGAATGGCGTAGCATCCACAAGAGCTGGAACACATTTGCTCAATGCTCCACTTCATTCAGGCCAATTTCCGATTCTGCTGTCGTCTTGCCTACCCAATATTCCACTGACAGTCCATCACATGGCTCGGGCTAGAATTGATTAAGAACATTATTTACATATGTTGCGTTGTTCAAAAGATTGTGACACAGTCTTTATTATCTTCGATTCAATAACGGTGTTTATACATTTATATTTCCTTTCAACCTTGAAAGCTGACAAACGTAACACCTTCCCAGACATTAATGGATTTTTTCCTGAACATGTCGGGAATCAGAAAGGATGTGATCGTAAACAAGATAATATCTTGCATAACCGGGGAAGCATCCAATTTTTTAAAACTAATTGTGCGTTCAATCGACAATGGCTTCTTTTTTTCTAAACGTTAATTGTCTATCCTCGTCGATGCCAAGTAAATGTGCTCGGACGAAACGTTCACAGAGCTCAGAGACTTATGAAGCTCGCACGGCGAAGAATGAAATTCAAGTGTCACTACATATCTTCCTTCAATGAAATCATAGCATGGAATGTCCGAGAGGGCTAGATGGGCTAGATTTTTACCAAGACTCCAAGGAGTCTTAGTAAAAATCTAGGTTTTCATCCCACTTTTACAAGTTAACACTTGTCACTTGTAGAACCATGAAACATAATATAAAAAATGCAGGTCTAAACAGCTTATAAAACTTTGGTTTTTCTCCTTGTAAATTACCAGCTATCACCTTTTTACGTGTATAACTTGCAGTTCTATGATATAGGCTTGTTCCAAATGCTCTTGTAAAGTGAAGGTCTTTCTGCTTGTATTAATAGTTACGAATATAAACTTGTATTTCTATGAAACACTAACTTATAATTTACAAGTAATCTATTGATACTTTAACTTGTAGGACTTTTAAGTTCCATGAAACATGCCCCTAGAAAAATTTACTGGAATATTGCTCCATGCTCGACTATTTCTCCTCGTGTGGTTCTATGTCTTCGTGAAGACAGCCCTGTCCGGAGATGGAAGACACTTGGTCATCTGGAATGGCACGGTCGGCCAGATGCGATCGGAAGACGAACCAGTCCACCAGAAACGACAGGTTTCGCCCGTTCGTTTTGGTTCAGTGCTGAGAGTGATGACGGTCCAGTCGAATTTTGGTGCTAGAAGGCCTTGGAGCCTTGTCATGCAAATGGAAGGAGCAAGAGCGAAAAAGCCGTCGGTGTCTCGAGCACCGAGACGATGCCGGGAGTCCAACATGCACTCGCGTCAGATAAGGACACACAGATATGAGAAAGGTCAAATGTTTTACTCGAGTCTCGCATTTTTTCGTCTGCTCGGACACCTGTGCCACTGGCCTCGTCCGACTCGAGTGAAAAAATGTACTGCTCGAGTAAAAAGTGTTTATTTTATATGCTTATTCACGGAAAAGCAAGCTCATTCTACTTAAAGCGTTTTTGCCAAATATCGACTTCCTCTCCGTCTGTTATGCAAACTCCTCCCACTTGAATAAAACCGTCATAGACAATGCAACGTGAATTAGCAGAGATGAGATGAGATTCCGAACGAAGAGAAATGAGGGAGAAGAGGGCTAGTCGTCATGACTTGCTGCATGTCATTGCTGCTTGACTTGCTGCATTTAAAGGGCTGCAGAGCAAAATAGATTGCATCGAGTGAAAAAAAAAGATTAAATGAGTACTTCCTGGTAATCTACTTATTAAGGATAATCCATTAGGAGTATCTTCGTAACGCGGAGTAAGAGTCCATTGACGAGTAGCATCGAAGCGAGTAGTAACATTTCTCCAGTAAATAGGCTGCAAAACAACGGAGAATCGCGATGAGTCATGGAAATGGGAGAAAACCACGGAAAAGTTTGGACCGGCTGCAAACCTCAAGCCCGTGTGAAGCCTGGATTCATGTTCAAACATAAAACGAACGCTAAATTAAACCTTTTAAATAATAAAGCAAGTATTTTAGGTAATTACATAATTTCGACAATTAAACAATGCTAGTAATTTTAATAGTAATAAGCTTATTCGTCTGCTTCCGACTGAGCCAAGAGGACTTCCCAAGCTTTAAATAGCCTCTCTTCAAGACGTCTTCTCCGCACTTTTCTCCAGAGAGCTGCTATTTTTTCTGCCAATATTTATGGCACTTTTCATGTGGGTATTATGCAAGACGGGACAATGGGGACCATGAAATTTTTAGTCGCCTCCATAGAAAAGCATTGCATGGTAATGCAAGGGTTCCCATACCATCCCGTTCGGCTCTTCCTGGAAGAATTCAGAATTCACCCGGTGCGGGTAAATTTGCTCAGAGGCCCAGAATGGGACGCGGGAAGACGGCTGGACGAATCCTTTCTTTCTTTCTTCTTCTTTTGGGCAATTTCGGGACGGGTCCCGGACGTCCCGCTTTTTTTCCTCTCGGTGGGGCCTCTCTCATCGCGATCTTTCCTCTGTCGTCTGTCCCGATCTTTTCATCGTTTTTCCTCGGCGCCTTCTTCCGACGCGACGCGGCAACTGCCGCGAGGTTCCGAGAGGCAGTCGCCTTTTTCCGAAACGGCTCGGATTCGGTCTCCCAGGGCCTTCGTCGCCCGCGCGACGCCGTCGCAGTGGTCGCACTCGGACCGCCAGACCCGATCGAGACAATCGAAGACTTGCTGGCCGCGTCGGCGGTGAGGATCGCGAAGGAGACGAAGACGAGGCAGGCGAGGAAGAGGACGAACACGACGGCAGCCGCGACGAGCGCAGACGACGGAGACCCCCACTCCTCCGTGTCCACGGTCGTCATGGCGTCCCCAGTCATCGCGACGCCCTCTCCCGACGACACCGACATGACTTTCTGCTTTCTCTCGGGACCTGCACAAAAGCGGAAGGGATTCGAGAAAAGCAAAAGTGACTCATCGGTTTCCACGGCGACAGAACTCCTTTCGATTCTTCGTTTTCTCTGATCGTGAATTCGCGATCGACATAATGCCTGAATGATGCAGCCGTACGTTAATGGCTAGAAGCGAAGTGGCTAAGTCTGAACGCGGCAGTCACAGACTCATTTTAACCACTGACCACTTTTGAGTTGCCCCCCCCCCCTCCCCGGCCCTTGCCCTTTTCGATATGTAGATGATGAAACTTTATCATCACTTGATTCTTTGTCGATTCAAGAAGAACCTTGAATTCTCCTAGTCATACAGCCAGATCTTGAATAGGAACAGCTGTCATCAACCCAGCAAAGAAAATAAAACAATAATATAGGTTAAATCTCTTTACAACGAACTTCAAGGGGGTGTCCAGATTATTTCGTTGTTCTGAAATTTTGTTGTATCGAATATTGCTCGAAATAAGTTCAAAACAAACATTCTCTATTCAAATTAGCTGTACCTTCCAACGTACAGACCACAGATGCTGTAATTTTCCACTTTTTTTTGGAGAAAATCTGTAATTTTGGATTGCATAAAAGTTTGTGTTGCCTTGT